TTCTTGATGTCATCCCACAATCTCTCTGGTTTTTGGTCATTGGTGTTCAGTGCATCAAATCTGTTCTTCAGATGGTCTCTAAATTCAGGAAGGATGTAATCAAGGTCATATTTTGGTTCTCAGGGACTTGTTTTAATTGTCTTTAGCTTCATTGAACTTATATATTAGCAGTTGATGGTCTATTCCAACTACTGGTTTTGTTTTGGCTGAAGATACTGAGCTTCTCCATTGCCTCTTCCCACAGACATAGTCCATCTGATTCCTGTGTACTCCATCTGGTGAAGTCCACAGGTATAGCTGCCATTTATGTTGTTGAACTCGGAAGGAAAATGGGGCAATCTACTTCCGTAGTGATACTGCCTCGGAAACCCAAGGAGGGGTCGCTGTGAGTCGGGTCTGACTCGACGGCACATAACAACAACAACAACAATGTTGTTGAAAAAAGGTATTTGCAATGAATAAGTCATTTGTCATGCAAAATTCTATCATGTGATCTCCAGCATCATTTCTATCTCTAAGGCCATATTTTCCAACTACCAGTGATTCTTCTTCTGTTTCCAACTCTGCATTCCAATCACCAGTAGTAATCAACACATCTTGATTGCATGTTTGGTCAATTTCAGACTGCAGAAGTTGGTAAAAATCTTTAATTCCCTCATCTTTGGCTTTGGTGGTTGGTGCGTAAATTTGAATAGTAATAGTATTAACTGATCTTCCTTGTAGGCGTGTGTATATTATTCTATCAGTGACAGCGTCGTACTTAAGGATAGATCTTGAAACATTCTTTTTGATGATGAATGCCACAGCATTCCTCTTCAACTTGTCATTCCCAGCGTAGATCATATGGTTGTCTGATTCAAAATGGCCAAAACCAGTCCATTTTAGCTCACTAATGCCTAGGATATTGATCTTTATGTGTTCCATTTAATTTTTGACAGCTTCCAGTTTTCCTAGATTCATACTTCATACATTCCATGTTCTGATGATTAATGGATGTTTGCAGCTGTTTGTTCTCGTTTTGACTCATGCTACATCAGCAAATGGTGGGTCCTGAAAGCTTTACTCCATCCACATCATGAAGGTTGGCTCTACTCTGAGGAGGCAGCTTTCTCCCAGTCATATTTTGAGTGCCTTCCAGCCTGAGGGGCTCATCTTCTGGCACTATATCAGACAGTGGTTCAGGGCTGTTCATAAAGTTTTCTAGGAATACATCAGACAGTGTTTTCACTGCTATTCGTAAGGTTTTCAGTGGCCAGTTCTTTGAGAAGTGGATGGCCCCTTCCTTCTTCCAAGTCTGTCTTAGTCTAGAAGCTCTGCTGAAACCTGTTCACCATGAGTAAACCCTGCTGGCATTTGAAACACTGATGGCATAGCCTCCAGGAGCAACATGTGAGCCACCATAGTATAACATACTGACAGACGAGTTTTGAGAAGATAAAATCATAAATTCCTTATTTATTTATTTATATAAAGTATATATATATATATATATATATATATATATATATATATATATATATATATATTTTTTTTTTTTTTAAAAAAAAGCTTATTCCTTTACAGCCATGAACAAGAGAATGATAAATTTATGCCTGAAAGAAAAGTTGACATTATCAAAATAATAACTGAAGTGAAAAAGATCATCAAGGAAGCTGTAATTAAGTTTGAGTGCTATAAGATACAAATTTACTCAGTCATGAAAGAAAAGGATAAAATAAATAATACATGAGTAGCACCAACATAAATGTTAAGAAAGGAAGAGGTGGAAATTATGCAGAAATAAACAAACCTGTTTTTGAGTGGTTTCTTCAAGCCTCTGCCAAATCCCATTTCAGGACCTATCATGCAAGCCAAGGCAAAGAAATTCGTGAAACTTTAAAAAAAAGTCAATGGATTGTTAGATCTAATGGGTGGTTTCAGTGCTATAAAACAAGCAAACAGACAAACCATGGAATCAGTTGCAGTGTAGCTTGTGGGGAGTCCAACAAGGTTGACAACCATGTCAAAAACAGATTCACAAAAATAAAAGAGATCATAAGGGAATATGGTCCTAAAGACACTGCAAATGCTGATGAGACTGCTCTGCCCCTAATAGGATCTTGAAAATGAAAGGGAGAAATGCGTGCAGGGTTGGTTTTTGAAAGAGTGGCTTACCTTCCTCTTGCACAGGACATTTGAGAAACCATGAGTAATTACAGAGAGCAAGAACCCCGATGCTTGAAGTATGTAGAGATTAATCATCTTTCAGTAGAACAGAAATAGAATAAAAAAGTTTGGATGATGGTATCAGTTTCTGAAGAGTTTTTAAATAAACTCAACAGTAGCATAAAAAAACAAAATCAAAGCATTCTTTGTTTGCCAGTGCTACTTGTCATAGGTCACTGCCCATGTCCAGTATTAATTTTTTCCACCATCCATGATGTCAGTCTTACACCCTCTGGTTAATGGCATTATCCAAAATATTGAAGTAAAGTCCAGGAAGCTGTTGCTTCAAAAAGTGATTGCAAACATTGAGCTATACAAGATGGCATGAGAGATTTCAGAGAAAATCAGTGTCCTTGATGCAGTTTCATTTCATAAGTGATCAGTCAAAATGATTAAAGAAGAAACTAAGAATATGCTTTAAGAAGTGAGATTTCTTATTTGGCAGTGGTGACAGTATACAAAATGCAACAGTTACAGAGCCTGAAAACATGCAGATTCAGGATACTAAAAGACATAGTGGTGTTTCAGAAAATAGGGTCAATGCCTTATCTTACATTGATATCAACAAAGAAATTGCTACAGAAAAGATAAACTTGCAAGAAATTGTGGACTCAGAATCTAAAGATGACGACGATGACGATAATGATGAAAACCTACCATTAGAAGAGCCTGGGCCTTTAAATCAGGCACAGGTTTTCAGCAGTATAAAGGCTTTGAAAGAATTTGGAAAAGTTAAAGAACACTAAGAGTTTTTTGATAAGGCTGCAGAGTTAGAAATTTGTTTCAGTAATTTCACCTAAAAACCAAAATGAACTAGACAGTTGACATTAGTGTTTCTGTGAAAAAGTGAATTTTACCCGTCTTTGTATGATATGCACATAACTATATATAATTTGAATAAACATGCAAATCATAAAACATAGTTTATTTTCTAGTCCTATAAAATTGAAAAGAAATACTTTCTGGGTATTTATGAGGGTAGAATTCTAGGTGAAAAACTTGTGAGACCTGGAAAAGCAAGGCAGTCTCGTCAAGTTGTGGCTTTCTCAGGTTTCACTGTACCTGATAAGGAACTAGCATCCAGAACACAGAGGAGCCCCATGAAACAGTGGTTAAGTGCTCAGCTGCTAACCAGAGAGTCAATGGCTGGAACCTACCAAGTGCTCCACAGGAGAAAGATGTGGCAGTTAGCTTCTGTAAAGGTCATAGCCAAGAAAACCTTATGTCACATGGAGTTACTTATGAGTTGAAAACTGATTCAGTGGCACTCAACAACAACAAATCCAGAACACATAAAGAACTCTTACAACTCTAGAAGAAGACGACAAATAACCTAATTAAAAACTGGGAAAAGGATTTGAATAGACATTTCTCCAAAGAAGATGTACAAGTTGCCAATAAACATGAAAATATGTTCAACATTATTGATTAGAGAAATGCAAACCCAAACCACAATGAGATACCACTAGGATGGTTTAAATAAAAAAGACAGACAGTAACAAGCATTGGCAAGGATGTGGAGAAATTGGAACCCCTCATGTACTGCTGGTTGTTGTTGTTGTTATGTGCCATCGAGTCGGCCCCGACTCATAGCAACCCCTCTTGGGTTTCCAAGGAAGCCTGGCAGCTCAAACCCACCAGCCACTCTTTGGAAAGAAGATTGGGCAATCTACTTCCGTAGTGATACTGCTTCAGAAACCCAAGGAGGGGTTAACAGCACATAACAACAACAACATGACTACAGAAGTAGATTGCCCAGTCTTCTTTCCAAGGAGTGGCTGGTGGATTTGAACCGCCAGCTTTGTGGTTAGCAGTCAAGTGCCTTAGGCACTATCCTACCAGAGCCTCTATGTACTGCTGGTAGGAATATAAAATGGTGCAGCCATTTTAGAAGACAGTTTGGCAGTTTCTCAAAAAGTTAAACATAAAGTTATAATATGACTCAGCAATTCAACATCTAGGCATGTACACAAGAAAAATGAAACATAGGTCCCTACAAAATTTGTACATGAATGTTCATAGCAGCATTATGTATATAACCCAAAAGAGGAAACAATTCAAATGCCCATCAACTCATGAATGGATAAACAAGATATGATATATCCTATAATGGAATATTATTCATCCGTAAAAAGAAATAAATAAAGTACTAATACATGCTCCAACATGAATGAGCCTTGAAAACACTGTGCTGAGTGAAAGAAGCCAGACACAAAGGCCAGATAGTGTATGATTCCATTTATATGAAATGTCCAAAGTATGCAAATTCATAAAGACAGAAAGATTAGTGGTTGGTAGGGGCTATGGGGAAGGGAACATGGGGAGTGACTGCTTAGGAGTAAGTGATATTTTGTGGGTGAAAAAATATTCTGGAATTAGATTGTGGTGATAGTTGCACATACCTGTGAATACATTAAAAACCACTGAATTTTACACTTAATTTGATTGGTTCTGACCTTCTCCGATGCATTCTTGTCTGATGATGATCCAGAGCTGAGTGATGAACTGCAACTATTCATTTTAGCTACCAGTTCTTGGTGGGAAGGAAAGAATATTTCTGTGGTCGTGACTGTATCTGGGAGTTTGGGGGCGCACACCTGCATGTGCCATTACAAGTTTTGTCTGATCTAGAAAACACTTCTCTTTTTGCGTAACAGTTGCTCTCATATGTCTGGCCATTTATGGTTCCTTTTCTATTGCTGAATTGACTCAATGGTAGTGGATTTTGGTTTGGTTTTTCTATTGCTGTCTCCCTTAACAGTTTCCCTATGTGTTTGTGTGTTGTGTCTCTGCAGTGCTGATGGGGAAGTGAAGCACTGTGTGATCTACAGCACTGCGCGGGGCTATGGCTTTGCGGAGCCCTACAACCTGTACAGCTCACTGAAGGAGCTGGTGCTCCATTACCAGCAGACATCCCTCGTTCAGCACAACGACTCCCTCAACGTCAGGCTTGCCTATCCTGTCCACGCACAGATGCCCTCACTCTGCAGATAAAGAGCGGGTGGTAGGAGAGGGGGCTCTCTAGTGTTCTTTTCTACAGTTTGTATTAGACTATGAGGGCATTCTTTCTACGTAGACTGCTTGTTTTGCACAAGAAGTGATTATGTGAATGTGAAATGGATACCGAGCAGTAGCCGGCCAGGGTCGGGGAAGAAGGGATGTGGGGTTCCCTGGGACTCAGCTGTGCCACTGCCCTGACATACTCAGCTGGAAGCAGATGTTGTTTTTTGGAAAGTTTGTTTCATTGAGGTTTTTGTTTTGTTTAGCCAGGTACCCTCAACAGAACACATTAAGCTTGGGTGGGGGTTATTGGAACCTTCTGAAGAGTCCATGTTTTCTTTTAGTCTTTGAGAGTGCAGCAGGGGCAGTGGCGCTGAGGGAGTTCTGTCTTCATCTGGCAGAATACATGTGGAAAAAAAAAAAAGAAGGTGGCTGTTTTGGTTCTGTGGTGGTGTGGGATTTGGAAAAAGACAACCAAAGGAAATGGGGAGGCTTGGGATTTCATTTAAAGAATCTAAGCCAAGGGGGATAACCCTTCACCTGAAGGTACCTTATTTCTTACCAACATAATTTAGACTTAAGCAGCTCTTAGCCCCCTCTAAAGAAGCATTATGTTTAAAAACCAAACTGATCCCACCACAACAATATCTGTTGTTGGACTAAGACCTGATGGGAGAAGGTGGCACTAGTATCATACTGAATGCACATTTCTATACCAAAACTTGAAAATAAAAGGAAAACTAGAATGTGTGTTTTTGCAAACACTAAAATTGGTCACTGTAACTCCTTCTGGCCTGCCCTTGTTTCTCGGAGATGAAGAATAGTGTTTTTGTGGAGATGATGAGCTTTGAATCATAAAATGAAGTTGGTGCTTTTGTGGTGTTTCCTTAGCCAAAAGAATGATCTGTTGTTTGAAACCTTTGTAACTTGTTTGTATGAGTAAAGAAAAGGTGCAATCCAGTGCTTTTAGATGACTTGAATATACCAAATAATGATATGGAACAACATTCTTACACGTGCTTTCCCAACTTTAAAGGCCCTGCAGAAACAGTAAACATGGTTTAATTTCTCTTCGTCATTTCTTCCTCCTTTGCAGGATAGGGCTTAGAGAACCGTAGGTGGCTAGGGCTGTAGCTGGAAGGGGGGCCAGATTGTGGTCAGGACCTCAGTAAATCACAGACCCTGGGGTCCAGGGAGAGGCTCTTGCCACGGGGGCACATTACACATGTGCTTCCACTCAGTGGTTTCTGAAGCTTTTGCAGGAAGAGGAGAGGATGGCTTAGAGTTTATAAACTGTTAGTGGAAGCTATCTAGAAGCTTTTTCTCTTTGCCTTTTTTTTTTTTAATAATCCTGCCACGAAGACAATGTGCAGAGTCTGCCCTCATGCTCCATTGGCCCTGATTTTAGGCCAGGAGTCTTCTGCTCCATGTGGTTGAAGCCTTCTGACTGAGTGAAGCTAGGCGGATGGAGTAGGGGCAGGCACCCACCCTGTCTGCATTATGCCTCATCCCCATTTGTCAGTGCTCATTTGACAAGTAGAGTCCATCTGCGTCTGCGCCAATCCTGGAACCATAATAGGCTTGGAGTGAGTCAGCAGTTTGAGCCTAAAGCTGTGCAGTCAGGCATCCTGACAGAGCTAGAGAGGCCAGTCTCTGGATCTTGATGCATAAGGCTTGCTAGGAATGCTCTAGTTTTGGGGGTGAAAGAAAAATACTGGTTTCACTGAGCACTTATCTTGGTGGCAAGTCTTAGAATGGACCATGATACAGAAATAAACTTGGATTAAAATATGTGGAAAAACTTCTACAATTTTTAGGAGGGAGTTTTAGGAGGGAAAGAGTAGATCTTTGGTTTTCTTGCAGTTTCAGGGTTGGATAAGAGACAGTGTCAGTGTTCTGATTTAAGCCCTTATCTGATGGCCAATCAGCTGTTTCACCCTTTCCCCCAAGTTGAAATTTTCCTTCGAGTTTTACTGGGTAATTAGACAGGCTAACTGCTGCTGGGCATACCAGGATGGACTTGCACCTGGTGTTGAAACTGCTTAAGCAGTTGGATGCTCAAGATTGGGTACAAAGACTCTTTCTTTCTGGTACTAAAATTTTAGCGTGTAGTGAATGTCCCTTTTAAAAGTAAACCGTTATGGGAATAAGGAACATGCCTGTAATGTTGGACCTTGTCTGTACCTTACCAGGTAGACACTGCGGACAGCAGCCAGAGCAAGCACCATCTTATCATCAACCCTTCAGCTGGCTTGTGGGGAAAGGCTTCTCTTTCCTGTCCTACATTCCTTCACTTTTTTTTTTTTTTTTTCCCGTTTTCCATTCTCTGTGGGATCTAAGACCCAGGGATCACGTGAGAAGTTGGAAGATACCTTTTCTGACCTGTTACCACGTGATTTGCTCAATTCCGAGCCAGTAGAAAATGGCATAGAAGACAGCCTACTAGCAGCTGGGCCGTACATGTGTGTGGAGGGGTAGCATGCAGCTCCTGTGCCTCACAGTCTGGGAGCAGGTCCGAGTTTACCTCTGTCCTGTCTGTGATTTAGGCCCTGGGACTATCTCTCTTGGTGTCTTATCCACACCTCCCTGGGGCAGAGAAGGTAAGGGGAGAGACCAAGACCAGACCGCACTATCGGTTAGATTTTGGAGCTGGAGTATTCTCTTGGCTAGGGAAGCCAGCTACCAACATGGAAACAGCTCAGGACTAGCTAGATGCAGGTCCCTTACCTTGCCATAGATGCCAAACCTTGGGTCGTGGTTCAGGCCTATATAGTCTGGCTGTATCCTTATCACTGCTTTGGCAAAGACTGAGGGCTTCCTAATACATCCGCCTTCCCTGAAGCCTTGGTGAGACTTCCTACTTTGTTCTCTGAGTCTCTGGACCTCATGTGCTCTGAAGAAGCTTTGAGAGCCAGTGTGATGTCTTCCATGAGTCTTCTTTTATTAGTGCAAGGAACTAGGCCTCATGGGTCCTCTTGGGACAGGAATTGGATCTAGGCAGTGCCTGGTTTCCAAGGTAGTCTCTGCTGCCAGTTAACATCCCAAAGTAGGTCCTTGGGAGGCTTCAGTGGCCTCTGAAACCAGAAGGTCCAGGTGGAGGCCTGACTGGGCCCTCTGCTGCCAACTGCTCAGCCTTGCTTTATTAGCTCCAGCTACTTGTGACAGACAACCTTTTTGCTTACAAATTCCAGCATGTGATGTTGGTGCCCTGTTGTTACTTGTGAAAAACCTATTCTTCTGTTGTCTTTGATGTAGTCAAAAAAATTCATGTAGTTTATGTAAAAATACCTGATTCACAAGGAAGCCAACCGTGTGTCTTGTGTTGGGACAGTTCATAATGTAGTTCCTAGACCACTTTTGCAAATTGTTTTTGTCACCAGATGTGTTCCGACATTGCTGTGCCGTTGTGGGGGAGGGCGGGGGGAAGGTGAGGGAGATACTTTTTGGTCTTTTTGTTTACCTTCCCCAAGAGGGGACAGTCTGGCCAACTTGCTCCAGTAACGGAATAAAGACATTGCAATAAAGCACCTATTTGGCTTCATGTGATGGTGGCTGGGATGGGAAGTGGGGCAAGAGAAAAGAGCTTGAAAAGCCCTTGAATCTCCCAAACCGTCTCTCCCAGCATCACCGCAAGACCTTTCCTTGGGATGAACTGGAACCACTGAAGGCTCTCTTCTTCCGACCAACAAGAGGAAGCCAGTCCTAATAGGCATGATGCTGGAGTCCTGTCCATTCAAAATGGGACAAAGGGAGATTCAAACTGTCTGTGGGAATGTTAAAGCCGTTTCCTCTCTACCTGACCCAATCCCAAGTTTTAAAAAGGCCAGTTTACTGTTCTTACCACATCTTTTTGACTGGTAATCAAGTGTTTCCACATTTTTATCTTCAGGGTAGAGGGAATGGGCTCAGTCTGCCCTTGTTGCCCAGGCCCTTGTCACTCTCCTACCTTGCACTTTGTTGAGGTTCCTACCTGCTGGGAACATTAGGAGCAAATGTGTGAAAACCTCCATTTGCATGAGACATTGCAGCTCTCATCCAGGTCTCTCAGGCCCCACCCAGATGTGCACGCTGTTACAAATGGGTAGGGAACAGTCTGTTGTTGTAAACTAATTACCTCTGCTCCTCCTCCCCCACTACACTTGAGCTACACAGCACCCCTGAAACCACTGCTAGGGACTATGGATTTTCTCTCCTAATTCCAAGAGTTGAGTTTCCACTTCTGAGGGCATTCAGATTCCTCTCTCCAGCCCAGTACTCTCTTCTGAGCTCCACTTGCTGGCTGGATGTCTTCACCAGGGGTCTTGGGTTTCCACAGGCACTTGACACTTTTTGTTGACTTAACAGAGAAAATGTATGCTTGGCTATGAATTCCCTCGCCTTCCTACCACCAAACCTGCAAACCTGGCTGTATCCACGTACTTCCATACCCGTTACATTATAAAAGGTGTCCTTCTCCCCAACTGAAGCCAGTTCCTCCACGTTTTTTGAATCCTTTTTTTTCGCCTGCCTTCTCAGGAATTTGGCATGATCTATCAATTCTTTCACTATTGTTTCCCCTCAATTGGGTCATTCTCATTGCCTTTAAACGTGGTCGGAAGTCTCTCATCCCATTTCCCCAGTCCTTTCTCAGTTCCATATCCCTTTATCTCTTTTATCCCCTTCAAAGCCAAACCTTCAAAAAAGCTAAGTATCTTCTTTTCCTCACATTCTCAAGCATTTCTAGTACAGGTTCCACCACCACTTGGAACTGTTCTCCCTGATGTCCTCAATAGCTCTCTTCAGCTGGTTTCATGACTCACTCATCTAGTTTTCCTCCTGTATCTCTGTTAAGTTCCTATACAGGCTTATTCTCTGGCCCTCTTCTCGCTTAAGCTTTTTCCACTAGCAGTTTTATCTACACCCAATTATATTTGTTCCACTCAGACCTGTATTGAAAAGTACCTCATATTCAGCATATTGAATGCAGTGTAACCCCTTAGCCCTGGTTCTATTGTTTTATATTTCA